CCAGTAGGGTGATTGCAGGGTCATATGGAAGGTCAATTTTTAGAGCTTTTAGGAATCGCCACACTCCTTTCCACAGAGGTTGCACTAGTTTACACTCCCACTAATTTCTGAAGACATGTGTGAGGAAAAAATTGTTTATGAACTGATATATTTTCTCTTCATTAAAGCCCTGGCAAGAAGGTCAAGAATCAGAGTGCTCTACTACCTGCAAAACAGATCCTAGAGAGAGCTAAGTTTCTGGAGGACAGATTTACAACAGATTCTGAAGTCAGACAATACACAGAAATATTTTAATGTTAAGGTTTTACATTTTAGACAGAGTAAAGTATCATGTAAATATATTTTCCTTTTAAACCTGCTTTTGTTTACATTTGTGGTTTTAATGAGGACTTGTTTCATGTCTGGCAATATTATGAGCTATTTGCCTATACTAATTACTTCTCAAAAATCCCCATCAATGGTAGGTGCTATTAACGAACAAAACAGAGAGGTGGAATAGACCTCTCAGTAAAAAACCAAGCAATGGGTTTCTGGTCCTTCTACTCAGAGAGGATTAAGCTATCCTGCCCAATTCCCCTTCACCACCACACTCCACTTTCACTTTCTTACCCAATGTATAAAGGGATACTTCTGTTTTTATACCACAGGTAGCATTTCACGTTAATTTTCTCATTTCCGGTGTAAATAGTTTATTGTCATTGTAACATAATAAAATATTTTTCTCACACTGTAGCAAATGAAAATAACAAATACAAAAATTGACAAAGATGGTTAATATATATTAGACCTCAATTCAGAGGTAGATGTGAGGCTAAAGAAACTTAATCTTCAGGTTCTCTTGAGTTAAAACCTCTTCCATGGCCACATTTTGATTTTGGATTTTTATTTTTTTCTTAAGGAAAGCAGGAAAGCCTCGAAAACAGCATGTGTTTCAGGATTCTCAAAAGGTAGGCTTGTTCTTAGGTATTCTAAAAATATCCCCACCAGTGATTTCCTTCAAAAACTCAAATTAAATGTTGTCTGAACTGGAGTTTTCTTTCTGTGGAAATTATTATAAAGTATCTTACAGAAAGGTGAACCAAAGTATCCCCAATTACAGAATAGCAAACATTATATTGAGGGAAAATGAATAAGAGATTGATAATCATTTAATTAGAACTTGTATCTCAGTTAAGTATAGGTAGAGTTTGCCTGTGTGTTTTTCCTCTCCATTTTATTGTGTTCCTACCTTATATCACTATGCCTCCTAAGTTATTGCACTTTTTTTGTTCTTTTATTTGAGTAAATGAGTTGCCTTATTTTACAAATGGATTTTGTAGGGAGATTGGTTATAATTCAACCTCATTTTTATTTTCCCACATTAAATAAACCTGGTTGCAATATAACAAGACCAGAGAATCATATATCATTATCTATCTTCCTCTCTATGATCTTAGGTACAATTAACTGTTAGTGGTAACAACAGCTGTATTTGTAACTGCAGACTTTCAGTGTTGTGAGTTTTTTACTTACAATATCATGACAAACTTTTCAAGATTTTTGTTCTTTGGAAGAATATTTTAATACAGACCATCTCTTGGGTCAATAATTCCTTAGAACATTATTTTTATTTTATATAAAAATTATATATCAGTTGGTTAATAATGTAGATAGTCTTAACTACATATTTTTAAAATGTAAAATAAGATAAAATATTTCTATAAACTTATCAATAAAAAATCTGATTAGTTTTTATGTGAACACATATCATTTAGGCATTCATCCTTAACTTGATTTTATCTTCTTTTTGAAATAAATATACTGGTTCTAATAAAGTATCACTTGCTAGTATACAACTGGTTAATTCTGGACTAGAATTCCAAGAATGTCTTTTAGACAAAGAATATAATGTTCCACCTTGATTAGGCAGTCAGCCCATTTAATCTGAGACTTTACAAGTCTTAAAAAGAATGAGAAACTGATGACTTTCTGTTTAAATTATGCTTTTCACTGAGTGTTTTATGCTCAATGACTGAAGTCTCATTGTCTGAATAAAAAAAAATCTTAGACACTCATGGTGTAATAACAGTTCCTAAAATGTGCTTCAAATTATAGATCTTAAAGGTTAGGATTTCTTTTTCCAAAGTCTCACCTTACAAAGCTTTATTATTTTAAATATATGTCATTCAGCTTTCATAAGATTTTGATATAGATAATCAACAAATAATGTTTGCTTAAAACTTACTTGAAAAAGGAATTGCTGTGACTTTCTAATTACAACCCCCAAGTGGAATGAACGAGATGATTTTTAAATTAATTATCTCACAAAATAAAAGAAAATCTCCATTTTGTGTTTTGTTTCTTATCTAGAAGAAAAGATATGCTTTCAAGGTGGTATCTTAATTTTCAATTTCAAAGACACGGCTTGGTGGAGGCAACAAGGCTCATTCAGGTACCAATCACTCAACTATTAAATCGCTGTTTAGTGAAGCAATTAACGAAGTAAATCAGAAGACATTGTGTTCCCACCAAAAATTTACTATAATTAAATCCAAAAAATCACAAAACTAGTTTCAGACATACTGTTTAAAGGTATGTATCTCATTTAAATAATTATGTACCATGACTGTATTTAGTAGATAGCATATTTTTTTATCCATAGCTTCCAGCTTTAAGCATTTTTTTGAAATTCTTATCTTGTGTAATGAGTTACCCAGCTTCTTTATATCATTCTATAGCGAGGAATATTAGTAAAAGCATAATTCAAAAATCAATGTAAATGTATACACTAAGTATTCAAAATATGTGTAGGTAATGGTGAGAGCCATAGGAGAATATTGTGCTTACTCTCCTCATTCGACTGGACACCAAGCTCCACACTCAAATGTGCTTTCTACTCAGTCAGCTCTCCATCATTGACATGATGTACATCTCCACCACTGTGCCCAAGATGGCAGCTAACTTTCTGTCCAACAGTAAGACCATTACATCTTTGGGCTGTGAGACTCAAACATCTGTGTTCCTGGCCCTTGGTGGAACTGAAGCCCTTCTTCTCAGTTTCATGTCTTATGATCGCTATGCAGCCATCTGCCATCCCTTACATTACCCAACTCTTATGAACAAGACGACTTGCTGCTTCCTGGTTGCTTGTGCATGGACCAGTAGTTCTATCAACTCTTTAGTACCTACACTATATGTATTTCAGCTTCCATTTTGTAGATCTCGGCCCATTAACCACTTTTTCTCTGAAGTTCCATCCTTATTGCTATTGGTGTGTAAGGACACCTCCCGGTATGAGTATACCATCCTCTTGAGTGGACTTACTATTCTGCTGCTGTCATTCATGACCATTCTAGCTTCCTCTGCTCGAGTGCTTACTGTGATATATTCCAGATGAGCTCAGTTAAAGGGCAAACTAAAGCTGTTTTCATTTGTTCCTCCCACCAGATTGTGGCAAGTTTATTCTATGTGACAGGTCTTTTTACCTACACAAGGGCACACTCTTTGCAGTCTTCTTCACAGGATAGGACAGTGGCAGTATTTTACAGCTCTCCTGAATCCATTTATCTACACTTTGTGGAATAAGAAGGTTATGGGAACTGTGAAGAGACTGCTGAGATAAAGGATATTGGTTCAGAAAATCTGACATGTAGAAATTTTGATTGAGGATTAAAATTTTAATTGCTGCTTCTGAATACTACCTGGAAAGATGTAAAGATAATTTTCTGTGTAGAAGTCTGAGAAACAATGTGCATGCAAATCAAACTTGTTTAAGTTCTAAAGCAAGAGAATTCAAACTTGTCTAATGTTCTACTCAAAGTTCTCATGGCATTAATGTCTGTAATTCTTTTCTTTAATATTCTGATATGCAATTAATAGGAAATAAAATTTACTAAAACATTTAGCATTAGGATAATCTATATAGTGAACAAAGTTAATATAGCAAAAAGTGCATAATCCACTCATCCATAAATTCACTCAACAAATGTTTCAATGCTTTAACTATGTGTGTGACATTGTTAGAGGAACTGGTTTTGTAGGATTACATAAAAACAAAAACTGATAGAAACGTCTTTCTGATTAACAACCTTAATTTCTTCTGCAACCTTAATTTCTTTTTGCCATATAAACTAACATATGACAGTTCTCAGAGATTAGGACATGGATATCCTTAGTGAGCCATTTTTCTCCCTACTTCTTTAACATTCTGTGACATGGTGTGTACTCAAGAGTAGAACACCAAGCCTAACTTCTAGCAATACTAAGGCCTAATTGAAAATACCTAGCCACCTCTGGATAGCAGGGACAACATTTTTCTGGTGAAGAATAGTCCATTTCTTTACCTAAACCATTTGTTGCCATTTGTGCATTGTTTTGGAGGGTTAATTATTCTTACTATGATGTTTTCATTTTACTGTACCACTTATATACAGTGTATTTTTCAATGCTAATACTTCAATTTAAAAAATTAAATGTACTACAAAGGATTACACAAAACAAGATTAACTGATTACAGTGAATTGTACTGTGGCACTTTGTCATTTAACAGGATTGTTTCTTAGTTATTTTTTTAAAACACTCACTAGGCTAAAATTATCACATCCTAAATACCTTCCATGAAGCAAGCACTATGCAAAGCTTAGAAAACACATTTTGTAGTTAACACACACAAACATATTTTTTAAAAACTTAGTAGTTTGAACAAATCCCATTATTACTTTCATGATATAGACCTGGGCCCATGGTAGTTAAAAACTTTTTCGAGGACAATCCGTTAATAAATACACCCATCAACCGGGCTCGGTGGCTCAGCCTGTAATCCCGTGCCTTTGGGAGGCTGAGGTGAGTGGATTGCCTGAGCCCGCGGGTTCGAGACCTGCCTGGGCAGCAAAACCTCATCTCTACAATAAATCAAAAATCAGCCGGGCGTGGTAGTGCGCGCCTGTAGGTCCAGCAAGGAAGGCTGAGGCGGGAGGATCGCTGGAGCCCAGCAGGTCGAGGCTGCGGTGACCGGGAGCGGCCACTGCACTCCAGTCTGGGTGACAGAGTGACACTCCAACTTAAAATAAATAAATAAATAAATAAATAAATAAATAAACAAACCCATCCTTACATGGACTCATATTAGCCAATTCTCAGAGCTCCCCAAATTAATGACTTTATTGTGCATTAGCAGTTTAATGCAATGGGAAAAAGCTCCCTTCTAATATAAATTATTATTACTGGTTAACACATTTTTTAGTGTTTTTTACATTGTTGAAGCAATAATAGTATTATAAGAATCCACCACCTCAGGAACACCAAATGATTTGACAGCATGACAAACTTATTATAAGGGAAGGACCATACATAAGGATGAATGACTGGAATGATAGTGTGTAGGAGGTGTATGTCATCTGAGTCTTACAAAGAGTAGACATTTTAAAGCATAACCCAGACAGAAGCCAAGTGCTCTTAAAAGGACTATTAATGTTAAAGTGAAATAAAAAATAACTATGTATGTTAAGTAGTGTGAGCTAATGCAGAGGCTACAGTGCTAGGGAGAGAGACCCAGATTATGTGAGCCATTGTGTGTGCACAAGTGATGTGCCTATTGGGAGAAAAAACAGTCTTAACAACCCCTCATCACTTGCTGGGGCTAGCGGGGAGGAAGGTAAGAACTTGGAGATAATGAATCACAGACCAAGTAGTAACTTCAGATTTCTAAAGACACGTGTGAGAAAACAATCTATTTGTTATTAACAGATATTTTTTCTCTTCTTTAGAGTTCTAGGAAAGTCAGGAATCAGAGTGCTCTATACCTTGCAAAACAGATCTTAGAGAGAACTAAGTCTCTGGAGGAATGGAGATTTCTAGCAGATTTAGAAATGTCATCAACACACAGAAATCTTCTAATGTCAGTTTATATTTTAGATGCAGTTAAGTAACATCTAAATATATTCTTCTCTGTTTTCAATTAACTTTTAATTAATATTTTGTAATATGTTAGCAGGAAAGAAAGTCTCTATTTCCTTATTTCCTTAATCAAGATTCTTTAAGAAAACCTGGTAATCTAGCTTAACTAATATTTAATAAGATATTAACAGGAGAGAAATTCCTGTTTTTTCTTTTATTCTTGCAGAAGGGAAGAGTCAACGCTTAGAACATCTGAGAGGAAAATTATGGCAGGTAGCAGTAGAAAATAGAATAAGGAAAAACAAGAGAATCTATTGACTCTACTCTTTCCCCCTACACTACAGCATTCATTGCACACACATATACACATACATAAACTTGCAAGTGCACACAAGCACATACACACACACACATACACACACACACACACACACACACACACACACACACACACACACACACGCTCATGTGCTCACCAAGGCACTTCTGCCATGTGCCTTTTAGGGGGACTGGACTGCTTTTCTCCTGCCTCTTTTTTCCAAGAATATTTCCAGACTCAGTCATGATCCAATATATTATATTACCATAGTTATGCTTTATTCTCTTGACTTTGTAACCTGTCATGCACTTTGATCTTGTAGAATTACATAGAATTGAATTCACTTAAGTACAATGGCCTTTAGACAAGAAAGATCACATTATAAGATTTCGTCCTTTATTTTACTTCTAAAATATTTTCAAGAATGCAAGAAATTTTGTATGTATGGCAAACTCCACAATAAATTGCAATTATAAAATTGTTATAATTAGTTGAATATTAAATATATATGATTTTTAAATTAATATTTTTAAAAACTATACCTAAAGATTACATTTACCCCAAGGTCAAGTGTGCTTGCTCTATGTTAAAAAAAAAATGTATAAAAAGTGAATGGAGTGCAGAGTCCAATACAGACAGATATTGGAAACATTGTCTCTGAAGATATCCCTTTGATTTTAAAAAAGGTAGAATTATATAAGATGTCAGTCCTGAAATACATATTAATTTTCTTTCCAAAATCTCTGACTGGGAAAAATCTGTTTGTGGCTAAGAGTAATTATAGTAAAAATAAAATCATAGCTAATCTGTGTAAACAGATTTATGTTACAATTATTGTGTCATAATTTTATACACATATGCATTTTTCTTGTAATCAAATTATTCTAAAAAAAGACAGATACTATTATGTCATCCAATTTTGCACTAAAGAACATGAAATTTAGAGAGATTTCAGTTGCCTGATTTTATTTAGCTACTAATCAGCTCAAGAAAGCCAATCCTTAAATGTTTACTTCTATGCTCATAAAATTAATGAGATAATTCTATTTATTAAGAAACAGGAAGACAAATAATGCTACCACTTCTGCAGTTTTAAACTGTGTGTTATTATATGAGTTACATAACTTTCTTGACTTTAGAATTTCTGCTGGTTAATTGTGAAACATACAAATATTTCATGTGACATTTCATTTGAATATATTATATAGAGTTACTTGTTAAGTGAATGAAATATATGATATCTCAATGATTATTTTTAAAATATTTTCAAATATGTATTATTCAATTGTAAATCCACAAAGGCAGTTCAAAACCATTAAAGTATATTGTTATCTGATTATGATGTTGGAAAGCTGGTTTTAGCACAGGCATTGTTGGTTCTCAATTCATCCATAAAACTCAAAGTGAACCCAATGGAAGCAAATGAAATCATTACTGGAAGACAGTCTAAAAATACCCTGTGATTTCCTTAAGTTTAGAAACAAGGAGACTGACCCCTCAAGGGTGGAGGTAACCTGCCCCAAATCTCACAAGTTTGGATAGGACTTTTGTGTTTTATCTCCCAGTTTATATGTTATTTAAGCAGTCTGTAAAGCATATGTCTATTCTCAGCCTAACTGTGGCTGACTTATATGGAGGAAGTTTACATTTCATTGCTGTGATTCAGTGATTCCATAAAGACATAGATTTGTCTATCTTTGCTATGAAATTAAAAGACTACTCTAAGCAATGCCTTTGTAAGATTAATATATTTGATAGCCATAGACACATTGATAGTACAAAAATAATACCATACTTATTATGATCATAGAGCCAAACAATTTATGTATTAATAACTACTAATACTATCCCAATTCTGTTACATACAAGAAAATTTATTAATAAAGTCAACATATTGATGTATAACAAATAATAACATATAAATGCCTCAAATATGTGCAATATGAAATATAAAACCTTTGTTCAAAATGTAAAAACTTAAATATATAAAGAAGGTGGGAGAAGATATTTGCAGTGTATCTAAATAATAAAAGAGAATAGTGTATATAAATAAAAAAATAGAAACTATTTTTCAAAATTCAGAAAATTTAAGCAATCTGTTAGAAAACATAAACAAGAAATGTTCACAGAAAATATCCAAGAGGTCAATGGATAAATTAAAATATTTTCTACTTCCATATCATAGGGAACACATAAATTTCAAACATTTTTACTTGGTTATGATTGGTAGTAATTCGTGCACCCTGACATACAAGAATTTAAAGAAAAATCAGCAGTCTAAAAGTTAGGAATTCAATTGCTCTAAAATAGAAAAATTTCATGTGGTGCTGGATCTAAGATCAATTTTTTGTGAACAAGTTTATTTGAGATAATATTGACTAACTAGTTAGTTTTTGCCCTCTATTATT